AAAAGAGCCACCGTGGCTAAACAACAAAGTAAAAGAAGCAGTGAGGGGCAAAAAGGCATTCTTTAAAAAGTGGAAGTTAAATCCTAGTGAGGAAAATAGAAAGGAGCATAAACTCTGGCAAATGAAGTGTAAAAATATAATTAGGAAGGCCAAAAAAGAATTTGAAGAACAGCTACTCAAAGACTCAAAAAGTAATAGCAAAAACATTTTTAAGTACACCAGAAGCAAGAAGCCTGCTAAACAACCAGTGGGGCCACTGGATAATCGAGATGCTAAAGGAGCGCTCAAGGACGATAAGGCCATTGTGGAGAAACTAAATGAATTCTTTGCATTGGTCTTCATGGTTGAGGAGGTGAGGGAGATTTCCAAACTTGAGCCATTCTTTTTAGGTGACAGATCTGAGGAACTGTCCCAGATTGAGGTGTCATTAGAGGAGGTTTTGGAACAAATTGATAAACTAAACAGTAATAAGTCACCAGGACCAGATAGGATTCATCCAAGAGCTCTGAAGGAACTCCAATGTGAAATTGCAGGACTACTAACTGTTGTCTGTAACCTATCATTTAAATCAGCTTCTGTACCAAATGACTGGAGGATAGTTAATGTGACGCCAATTTTTAAAAAGGCTCCAGAGGTGACCCCAGCAATTACAGGCCAGTAAGCTTGACTTCAGTACTGGGCAAACTGGTTGAAACTATAGTAAAGAACAAAATTGTCAGACACATTGATGAACATAATTTGTTGAGGAATAGTCAACATGATTTTTGTAAAGGGAAATCATGCCTCAGTAATCTACTAGAATTCTTTGAGGGGGTCAACAAGCATGTGGACAAGGGGGTCCCGTGGATATAGTGTACTTAGATTTTCAGAAAGCCTTTGACAAGGTCCCTCACCAAAGGCTCTTAAGCAAATCAAGCAGTCATGGGATAAAAGGGATTGGTAACTGGTTAAAAGATAGGAAACAAAGGGTAGGAATAAATGGTCAGTTTTCAGAATGGAGAGAGGTAAATAGTGGTGTCCCCCAGGGGTCTGTACTGGGCCCAGTCTTATTCGACATATTATGATCTGGAAAAAGGGGTAAACAGTGAGGTAGCAAAATTTGCAGATGATACAAAACTACTCAAGATAATTAAGTCTCAGGCAGACTGCAAAGAGCTAAAAAAAGATCTCTCAAAACTGGGTGACTGGGCAACAAAATGGCAGATGAAATTCAATGTTGATAAATGCAAAGCAATGTACATTGGAAAACATAATCCCAACTGTACATATAAAATGATGGGGTCTAAATGGCTGTGACCACTCAAGATAGCTTGGAGTCATTGTGGATAGTTCTCTGAAAACATCCACTCAATGTGCAGCAGCAGTCAAAAAAGTGACCAGAATGTTGGGAATCATTAAGAAAGGGATAGATAATAAGACAGAAAATATCATATTGCCTTTATATAAATCCATGGTACGCCCACATCTTGAACACTGCGTGCAGATATGGTCGCCACATCTCAAAAAAGATATACTGGACTTGGAAAAGGTTCAGAGAAGGGCAACAAAAATGATTAGGGGTATGAAACGGCTTCCGTATGAGGCGAGATCAATAAGAATGCGACTTTTCAAATTAGAAAAGAGACTACTAAGGGCAGATATGATTGACATCTATAAAATCATGACTGGTGTGGAGGAAGTAAATAAGGAAGTGTTATTTACTCCTTCTCATAACACAAGAACTAGGGGTCACCAAATGACATGAATAGGCAGCAGCTTTAAAGCAAATAAAAGGAAGTATTTTTTTCCACACAACGCACAGTCAACCTGTGGAACTCCTTGCCAGAGGATGTTGTGAATGCCAAGACTATAACAGGGTTCAAAAAAGAACTAGATAAATTCATGGAGGATAGGTCCATCAATGGCTATTAGCCAGGATGGGCAGGGATGGTGTCCCTAGCCTCTGTTTGCCACAAGCTGGGAATGAGCGACAGGGGATGGATCACTTGATGATTACCTGTTCTCTTCATTCCCTCATTGGTCACTGTCGGAAGACCGGATACTGGGCTAGATGGACCTTTGGTCTGACCCAGAATGGCCATTCTTATGTTCTTATGATCAGACAGGAAAGCCACCAAATCTCTCACACAGCCACCTGCGTGGAATACTCATGCCCTGACCATGAGCTATCCATGCAGAAGACAGTGTATCAGGCGTGTCATGTTAAAATGCATGGAACATACCTCCTTAGCACTAAGCCCCATCCTGGAAGGCAGCAGTGCAGAGACTGCGAAGTGTGTGAATTCTCTGAGTTGGGGTGGAGCCAGGACCGTGACACTGTCAATTACACTTTGCAGTTCTCTTCTTGGCCATGCCTTCTCTTCTTTACTCATATGTGTACGTGACAGAATCCAGGCCCTCGGGGGGCATTCAGGGGAATGCAACAAGTTATTCAATGGCTAAGGGCCTGATTTCAGTAAGACCTCACCCCAGCCTCTTATTTTGTATCTTTAATAGCAAGGGCACAATTGACACGAGCTAGATATTATTATTAGATGTCAAACTACCCGGTTGTGCCCACATACTGTATCAGGTAGTTAAACATCAAAATAACCTCAATTGCAACTGCACATAGCTACAGGCAAAAAATAAGGAAGTCCGATTTTAAATGATCTCAATTTAAAAATATAAATTTATGTAGTTATTCCTTTGGCTGTTGCAATAAATAAAACAGAACTGATTCTTCCTTTAAACCACTTTTAAAACCAATATAACTTCTTTGATTTAAACTGAGCTACTTTTGATTTACATTGGTCAAGGACATGTCCCAAAATCTTAAAACATCCAATTCAGTAGTTTATAGCCTTGTATAAAATGCTAGGCAGTGAACTCTGGTATTTCTATATGGCAAATCTTCTGTATATTTACCAATTAGACAGTTGTGCTTTTTTAAAAACAGTCAGGTATTTTATTATAGCTATAAATGTCTTTTGTTCCAAAGTATTTACAATGCCCTCAATGGAACAAAGTTTCTTTCCATACTAAATTCATCCATTGTGGCAAACAGTGGTTTTCCACTTTCCATTTCCAACGGAACTTGGAGTTAATATAGCTTTTTTGAGTCTCTTTCTTTCTTTGTCTATTAGCATCTTCAGTTATGTCAGCACAACTCTAGGATCAGCATTCTCTCAGTCAGTTCAACTGCACTGCCAGTAAAAGAGAGAGCGTTCGTCTAAGTCCTACGTAAACAGTAATTCTCTTTTGCTTGACAACAGAGTACTGTAAGAAGCTCACTCCCATGGTCACTGAACTTTGAGATTAAGAAACATTTTCCCTGAATGGGTATATTGTATTGTAAATGAAAGCAGACAACGTACAAGAACAAAGCTGACACGAGAAAAATGATGGCTGTCAAGAGAATTTTTTTATAATCAAATTTCAGAGAGATGTGATTTGTACTTGACTTGTGTAGCCAAGTAGAAACAGACGAAATGTCCAAATAAAATACACATTGGGAAAAAATAATCTAAGTCACAGACAGATACTCCACGGAAAGGAGAAACCTAGGAATGACCAGGAAGTCAGACCTGGGTTTGTCACACAGAATGACTGCAAAAGGCCAATGCAATTTTGAGCTGCATATGCAGTGGCAAAGAGGTATCATGTCCCAGAGACAGAAGGTAATTGTGTCATCTTTGCTACCCCTTGTTGCAGCTGCACCTGGATCAATTCTGGCACCTAATTACCGGATGTTAACAGATTGTAGGAAATTAAGAGCAGAACACCAACGTTTACCAGGGGGCTAGGGGAACCGACTTATGAGGAAAGATGTAACTATATGTAGTTTGGCTAATTGCTGACTAATAGAGAGTGGAGACATGGTAACAGTCTAATTTTCTGAACTGCATAAAAAATGAAGAGGAATTATGTTGAGTAGTACAAGGGGTATAACTAGGAGTAATGGGATGAAACTGAGATAGCGATAATTTAGGGTAGATACCACAATAATCTTTCTGAGAGGGAGATGTATTACACTATGGAAGAGCCTTCTAAGGTGAAAGGCCAATCTCAAGGTACATTTAAAACTAGACTGGATATTGCACTAGTAAACATACTACAGGGAATAATCATACACTAGCCATTGGTATGGACTAAATGACCTGTAGGTCTCTTTTCTATCTAATAGCTATGATTTCAGGGTTCATTGTCCAAGTCTCAACTGTTCATATTTATGGTATTTCCTGACTTCGCTCCTTGCATCACCATATGGAACGGAGTGTTGTCTACTCCTGCATGCAATTTGTTTTCACTGAGCACAGATGTCCCTGGAAATACCAACTGAGGGTGATAGGAGTTTCTTTCACCTATCTGACAGCTCTGCCAAAACAAAGTCTTATTTTCACTCCAAACACAGAATCCAAAGTATGAGCAAGGCACGGTGAAATAAAGGCAGCAAAGAGCAGTGGACTAAGAGTATGTCTATGCTAGAAATGTAAGTCGACATAATATACACCGGTGAGGTGCATCCACCGACCTCAGAGGGACAGAGTGGGGAGCTAAGAGGCCAGTCTCTCAACTGGGTATCCTGTCCCATAGACTCCCAGAGGGCTGCCCCCTCCTCCCAGCCGGGAGCCAGGGGAAGTTGCCCGAGGCTTCTCGCCCCTCAGGAGTGGGGTCCAGCTGCTCCAGCTTCTCTGCCCCCACCAACTGCTCCCTGCTGAGAGCTAGGCAGCCTTGTCATTGTGTGTGTTATAAATTCACAGTCCCAGATATACTGCAGGTTGGCCTCACACTGTTAGTTTAAGACCATTGCAGCTCTCAAGTCAGAGGGCGCATCTCCATGTAAAGGGCTTAACTGTAGGGTTCGACTTAAACCCTTTAAGGAGGAGAGTCAGCCATGGGACTTGTGATCTTTGAGAGTTTCTGATCATTCATCTTGTAGACGCAATGGGGAAGAAGTTCAAGATGGACATTTTTCATTTGGCTGAAAAGGACGTGACTCATACAAATGCCCGCATTACCTTTGAAACAGCTGGCCATATGCACTAGGAGCCTTCCCCAACAGCGCCTGACGTGCTGCACATTGCCGCCTCTGCAGAGATGCTTCTTCCTGAGCAAGAAATATGATCAACTTATTACAATAACTTACAAGTACATACAGGCCTTCAAAAAAAGGGTAACAAATGGCCATGACATTCCTGTCTCTGGCTAAGGCCATGTCTACACTAGAGACCTTACAGTGGCCCGGCTGTACCAATGCAGCTGTGCCGCTATAAGATCTCTTGTGTAGCCACTCTACGCCAATGGGAGAGAGCTCTCCCGTCGACGTAGTTAAACCACTTCCAATGAGCGGCGGTAAGTATGTCGGCAGGAGAAACTCTCCTGCCGGCATAGTGCTGTGCACACTACTACTTATACCAGTGTAACTCATGTTACTCAGGGGGGTGTTTTTTCACACCTCTGAGCAACACCAGTTTTGCTGACAAAAATGGTAGTGTAGACATGGCCTAAGACTCTTGAGTGTATAGGTTTATCTATACTGGGAAATTACATTTTGTTATAACACGTTAACTAACAGGGTGTTAAATATCAGTCAGCACTCAGTGTAGACAGGACTTTTGTCTTTAAAGTCACACCTGGTTTTAAACATGGCGGTCCTGGTTTACAATGAAGCCCTGATTCTTCACTACATCTGAGCTATGCTAGGATGTAGCAGAAAGGGATGACTGCAGGGAGCTGGTTGATTCGCAGCCCCAGTATAAATTAAAGCAAGAATAATCCTACTTTAATTGATGCTGCTCGCATAAGGTTTCTTTCACCAGCAAAGGATGCAGTATAGTAGAATTTGGCTCCAACACACTCCTGACATGCTGCTTTCCTTGTCCGCTCACTCTAAGGGTAGAGGGAGTGGTTGGTGGCTACACCACTTCTGCCAACTCTACACCAGCTGAGATTCCCCCTACACCGAGGGAATTCTCTGTTGGAAATCTACGGTCACTCTCAGGCTACTGTGAACACCTAGCATAAGGGAGCCTTAGCAGACTGGAGAATCCATCCCTGTGGTGTTAGTTAACATGTGCTGCAGCAGAACAATATAATTTCCCACTGCAGACAAACCCAGTGTGGGTAAGGCAAGAGAAAGCTCAAAAAACAACAACAGTCATCTTGTGGTGACATTATCACATACTGGTTTGGCATCACGATGGGACAATAAGACCCCCCACCACAGTTTATCTGGTGGCTCTCTGTGACCCCCATCCCAGTAATGGCTCTCCAGATGGCAAAGGATGAACAAGAAAGAGAGTCCGATTGTCTTGTTGTACCTATTCACCCACAGATTGTTGTGAATTCCTTCCCTTTTGCTACTCCAGCAAGGTCCAGGCCTACACAGATTTCAGACAGATGTTTCACAAAGCATGTGCTTTGTAAAGAAGCAATTCTTTCTGATTTTTGTATGGATTGCAGGGCCTGGTTCTGTACTGCCTTGCAACTTGTGTAGTTATTTCTACTTGTGCAACATTGGTATAATGTGTTTTGAACCCAGCAGTTGCAAAGGCCAGGGAAAATGATGGTTCTTTTCCTGGTCAGCAAGCCTTTCCTCTTACCCTGCTCCTGGATTGCCAGTGCTAGTCATTTTATGCTCTCTCTCACTTTGCCATTCTACACATAGGAAGCATGGAATGCAGTTGTAGCAGTCATGCCACGTGCTTTTGTTGCCAAAAGTAAAGGAATCATTTCTACTTCCAAATGGAACAATTTAGACCGGATTTTACTTTAAAATCACAACAGGCATATTTACAGTCTTTACTATTGAAAATTATCAGAGCTGCACTCGTGTTTCACCTTGGAGCACTTACTGATTGACACTTCAGTCGATCCTACAGAACCTCATCATACACATGAACAAATATATTGGGCACTTAGAAGGCCTAGTAAATAGCTTGGCAGATATTACCAGCGAGGAACATGGAAACTAATAAAGAAAGCCTTCTAGCCACTGAAGAACTTAAACCCAGGCTAAATTATAGCCACCTTCATCATAAAACACTTATCTCCCTGGCTTGACAAAATGTAAAACGTTAACATAAGATGCAATAAAGAGAGAGAGACATAAATCACCGTGATACAGATGATGGCAGAAGGCTGCTGAAGTGAGAGAAACACAGCCTTCTCCTTCAGCTTAAGCTAATATATATTCAATGAAATAAACATTAAATGAAATGACACTTATTTAACTCTACACGGCACGAGACGTGGGATTTTGCTTAAGATGTCTGAAAGATGGGAGGGCTCCTTGTCTGGGTAGCTCATTTACAGTCATACCTTTCTCCCCACTAAAGAAAGCCTTTTTTTAAGCCTTGGATAGCAGTGGTTTTTTTTGATTCTCTGCTCCATCCAGAATAAAAACTCTAGACATCAGAATCAGGTGTAGATTGCTATAAATACAGAGATAGTGGCAATAATTATCCAACAAGCCAGGCCTGCCCAAACCATCAGTCATCATTATGACTTCATAGCCCTGGAATGGAACATATTTTGAAGCTTCCGTTTTTTTTTCTTTCCCCTGCCATTGTCATTGAAAAGGAGCATTAGAAATATCTGTTTGACAGCACCAACTCCACCACTGCCTGCAAGGAGAGTGAATTAAAGTCTGCCTTTAGGGAACAACCTATAAAAAATGAAGCTTAGATTGCACAAGATTGTTTGAAACGTAAGCACACTGTTGAGTCTCTGGGTCAAAAAAGAAGAAAACGCAGCAGCGAAACATGTCTGAACTCAGTCTCTGGTGGCAACCATGCCAAGCATGCAGCCACTCAGGTGAATGAGAGTTTTGACTTCAATGGGAACAGAATCGGGTTCAAAGCTCTTGATGTCCTGATAGACAATTTCCTTGTATCTCACGGCAGCACGTCTATTATTTATCCTGAATTTGGATTGTTTCCATGCATTCTTGTAAAAATATATAGGAGCTGATCCTCATCTAACTTACATCACATAAATCAGGAGCAACTCCAACAGAATCAATGAAGTTGCTCTGGTGTAAAACTGGTGTGAAAAGATTAGGCCCACAGTTCCCTACCCCATCTCTTCCTCAGTTGATGATGCTCATGCCATTTTCTTTCAGCTGCCTTTGGTACATTTGATTCTGGGCATTCCACTACTGGGAAAATATTGACAAACTGGAAGGAGTTCAGAGAACAGCAGTAAAAATGATATGGGAGCTGGAGGGATTGAGCAAAGCATAAACATCCTACTCCTAGGTTAGCATTCTATAATGCTAAAATTAGAGCATTTCCCCCTTACCGCTGGTGTCTTTTGTGCAGCAAGTTTGGCTGAGATTCTAGCAGAGTAGTTTTTGGCTGAAGAGTCCGAAAATTCATTGATGTCAGAAGGCTGGGCAATTCTAATGGTCCCTCCACTGGTTAAAGCTTTGTGATCTCCAAAAGACAGTGAGCTGAAATCTAGTAGGGAACAGGTATTGTTATTCTTGCAACAAAACCCTTACTGTAAACTCTGTTTCCAAGAAGTTGAAATCCTGTTTGAGAAATTCCATGTCTGCAGTTTCAGAATAACTAGGTTCCTTTTGGCACTGTTCTGGGTTTGCAAATGGGAAGAATGAAAGTGAAAAAGATAGAACTGAGTATCTTCTTAAGAAATAGATCCCAGGGAAGGGAATAAAAATACTTAGCACTTTTGTAATTTGTAAAGCACTTTACAAATATTAACTAATTCACCCTCAAAATACCAAGGGAAGTGTAGGGTCCCAAAAATACTCAAAACAGAAACCACTGATGGAGTATGGCATGTTGCTTTGCTTAATTTTATTTTCCTGAGGTCCTAGCTATTAAACATTGTTACCACTATTAAGCTGTTTAGAGGCTATGTTTGACCTACCTCACAGCCAGGGAATTTGAATCACGTGCCCTTCCTTCTGTCAGAATCATTTGCATCTGAATTTTTGTGCACACAATTCAACTCTGGGTGCAAATGTAAGTACTTGCACCTCTATTGGATTTACAGGTAGTCAGAAATGCAACTAAATCAGATAGCTGGAGATGCAACTAACACACTTTTTTTCAAGCAAAATTCGAGGGTGCAAAACTACAGCCACAAATAAGGAGGCTGGGCTTCAGTTTGGCTAACGAATTACCCCTAAATATCAATTTAAAATATAAAGGAAACCCTTACGAATATTTATATTTATGGGAGTGTTTGGAAAACCCAATCAGGAGAAAGGTCCCATTGTAGTAGGTGCTGTACAAAAGCAGCTCTCTCAAAGTACCTACCAGGGCCGGCTCCAGGCACCAGCCGAGCAAGCTGGTGCTTGGGGCGGCAGATTGAACGAGGCGGCATTCCACCCAATCTTAGGGCCAGCCGCACGGCCGCTTTTTTTTTTTAGTGTGTGTTCCGCTCCGGCTGCCCTGTAGGGGGCGGTGGGGGCGGCGGCGCGGAGGACGGGAGCGCCCTGCAGCAAGCCCGACAGGGCAGCCCGTGTCCTTTCCTCCCAGTCGACGGGAGCAGTGCGGAACCCTCCCGGCAGGGGGCACGGCGGGAGGGGCCGCGTGGCAGCGCCCCCCTGAAGCCCTGGCCGCCCTCCTTCTCTCTCCCCCCCGCTCCCTCACAACTGCAGCGCAGGGAGTCCCCCTGCAGCCTGGCTCTGGCCGCGCCGCACATTTTTTTTTGTTTTGCCGTTTTTGCCGCCCCTGGGTTGTGGTGGGTTTTTTTTTTCTGCTTGGGGCGGCAATAAAGTCAGAGCCGGCCCTGGTACCTACCATCTAAAAAGAAGAGTAATCAATGAAGGGTGAAGGAGAGGGAGACAATCAAATACATACAATCTTACACACACATATGCCTATTTTATGTATGTTTGGTTTTGTAATTATGTAATAAATAAATGCCAACTTTCCCCAAATGTCCCTCAGCCTAGCCAGCTCAAGTTACTGATATGCAGATGCTGGAATTTCTAGTGATTAGAACAGGGGAGTTATGGCTCCTGAGTTCTATTCCAGGGGCGGCAAATGATTTACTGAGCCTGGTTTTCAGACATGATGAGCATCTACCACTCAAACCAACTTCAATGGGAATTCTGAGTGCTCAGCACCACTGATAATCAGCTACAGCCCCAGTGTCCCATCTGTGAAATGTTGTGAAGTATGTATTACCATCCAGAGTGTTGTGAGGCTTACTTAATAGTTATAAAGCACTGCAATCTTGGATGAAAGCTGCTATGTACGCGCAAAGCATTATCATCATGTTAGTACAGTAATTTCTTCTATAAAAAGTGTTTCAAAAGAAGAGCTTATCGATTTTCTCCCAGTGTCTTTACTCTGGACATGAACAAAAGATCTCAAACGGCAGCTCATTAAAAAAAGAATTAACAACCTATCATAATATCACAGAACCAATCTTCTCCCTTCTACTCTCTTACTAAAAATGTCCATAATAAAGTCAACCTTTAGGCAAATTCTTTAAAATCAATTATTTCACACAGTCCATAAGAAGAGACACTCTCTCCAGAACTAAGATAGTTAAATTTATTTAAACTCCTATAAATGAAGCTCGAAGTGAATTTAACGATGCATAGTCAATTTAAAAGTTACTTTATGGAGAGCAAAATTACTAAAACCCAGTACTATTAATGGAATTTCTGTGGCTAGCAACAAAGTACAAATTGACACAATTCCAAAATGTGAAAGAATATTAAGATTTTGTTAAAGGAATGTCAGGTGCTTTAGATAGAACATATTATAATTAGATAAGAATCTCTTCTGTCCATAATCCTTCCACTTTGCTCTCCCTCCTGTGCCAGAAAGGTCCTAGTGCAGCAGTTCTCAAACTGTGGGTTGGGATCCCAAAGTGGGTTGGGACCCCATTTTAATAGGGTCACCAGGGCTGGCTTAGACTTGCTGGGGCCCAGAGCTGAAGGCCAACCCCCATCACCCGGGGCCTAAGCCCAAGCACTTCAGCCGTCGGCGGCAGGGCTCAGATTACAGGCCCCCTGCCTGGGGCTTAAGCTATTAGGCTTTAGCTTTGCCCCCCACCCCACACGGGGTGGCAGTGGGGCTCGGACAGGCTCAGGCTTCTGTTCCCCTTCCTGGGGTCATGTAGTAATTTTTGTTGTCAGAAGGGGATCAGGGTGCAATGAAGTTTGAGAACACCTGCCCTAGTGTTTTAGCAGAAAATAACTAAGAGCAAGATTGCAAGAACAAGATACAGCACACATGGTAACCTGCTTCTCCAAAATCCAGTCAGCCCCACAAGCCTTCCCTAACTTCAAACAAACACTGGCACTGCTAGAAGTGAAAATTAAAACAGCCCAGATTTAGATTAAATTTACTGGTTTCTTTAGAAAGCTACCTGTCATGGTAGTATCTATACGTTACAATCCATGTTGAGGCTTTTCATTCCCCACAGAGTAATCAACATTTATTAATTCTTTCAAGATATGAAACCACTTGACATGAAAAAGTGATAAATTTTACACAATTTTTCATTAACATTTTTGTGCCAGTCTTACGCACTCTTCAGATTCCCCTATCTGCAGCCTTGTGAGCCATGCAGAAGGTCATGACTACTGGCTCTTCCCCTGTTTAGGAAAACAGTCACTCTCCTTCGGCACGGGATCTAAAACAACCTATGAACTGTGGAAGCTCTTGGAGAAAAGAGCGATCATAAACAAGTTCTTGTCTTCCTTTATTACACAAATCCCTGTCAAGAAACTCTCTGTCTCCCCTTCCTCGTTCCCACTGGGAGCTCTATTAGCTACAGAAGTGTATAGTCCAAATAGAGGAGACAGAACGGAATCTAGGGCCAGAATAAGGATGGATTTCTTTAATAACTTACTTGGCATTAGGGAAAAGCATGTCTCACCATTAAGGGTCTTCACCACAGAGTTAGCCCAGGTGTCTCCCCTAAGTCTCCTCCTGTCCACACATCTGAATTTAGTGATGCTTTACACCTGAGCTACCTGGCCCAGCTGGGGGTATGGGTGAGAACCTGGGTTCCCCTTTCACTCAGGCTGGCACGCCACCCACTTTGCAGTGAGAATACGGGCTAAATCACTCGAGTGCTGATAGTCCTGCAGTGCCTTCCCACAATTCCCCCGTGTGTCCAAAACGATAGGCAAGTTCTCCCACAATTCACTGGGAAAGAGTCCTAAAGAGGCTTAGTTTACTGCAGCACAAAGAATCATTGGATATGCCCCCAAAGCTCTAGTGACACACATACAGGCGTGCAGCACCACTGAGGACAAAGTAACTCAGATGGGACTGTGAAGTGTGGCTGTACCTGGGCGAGGTTAACCCAGGTGTCAATCACCCAGGCTAACTCGGCAGTAAAGAATTACTATTAAAAGGAGACTGGGGTTATTGGCCAATGGCAAGATCCTGATTTGGAGAGACCTTATTCATATCCCTGATCACCCTGAGGCGAGGAGGAATGTAAGTGTTCAGCCTCACAGCCCCATTTCTTTTTTCTCATTAGTCAGATAGGCACAAAGTTGTCAGCCAAGGAGACATGTTTTGTGTTGTGAATCTCCCTTAAAAACCTTCCCTGATGAGTGGATGTCTATCAGCTAGGGAGTAACCTGCCTCCATACAACATTAGGGTCACACCATGCGCTCTTCCCAACATTGTTCTCCCAAGTCAGCTGCCATATAAAGTAACTGTAAGTAACGGAAGGTGCAGCATCACAGACTTGGTTCCTAGGAGGAGGACAGTCAGGGAGGCACATTACTCAGTGGGAGGCCTGCAGAGTTTTCACAGGCCAGTAATCATGGAGGCCACTTCTCTCGCAGATAGGGCACTAATGTGTATAATTGACAAGTAATCAGTAACACTCTCCTAATAAAGCTGGTGTTAGTTCCTGACTGGCACAGTTGGAAAGTCATGTACAGTACCTGTGACTGCTTTGTCGTCCAAGACCCAACTGCTGTCCAAATCTGAAGGCTGTACCATACCTAGGTATTCCTTTATGAGGAGACTCAGCTGTGTGTATGCCTCATCGTAATCATCTACAGGAAACAGATGCACATTTTAAGGAGGGAGGGAAAGGATGTCTGATAAAAGAACAGCCAGGCACCAGCGTGAAATTATAACGTCACAGAAGTCAGAGATGAAAATGTCCTTTTAGTTCACCCAGCCTACCTCCCTACCAGTTTGGGCTTGTTCTCCACAATACATTCTCTGGTAAATGTATTCCCCATCTAGCTGTAAATGTTCCTCAAGTGTTTCACCTCATCACTTGAGGAACATTTACAGCTAGATTGAAGAACTTCCCTTGGGAGAATAATCCATAGCCTACTACGGTGAAGAAGCTTTTCCTAAATTCAGTTACATTCTAAATTCCTATGTCAGCCTAAATGTTCTCCTCCGCAATTTGATTTTATTTATTGTCTTTTATTTCTTCTGTTTTAGACTAAAAACGTAAGGCTGCCTATCCCTGGCTTCAGGTGCCCTCGACAATAATTAAAAATATAATTGTAATAATTCACAAAGCCAGCAATTTCATCTAAACCCTAGACCAGAGGTGGGCAAACTACGGCCCGGGGGCCACATCCGGGCCGTGGGACCCTCCTGCCCAGCCCCTGAGCTCCTGGCCCGGGAGGCTCACCCCCGGTCCCTCCCCTGCTGCTCCCCCTCCCCCACAGCCTTAGCTCGCTCCGCCACTGGCGCAATGCTCTCAGTGGCGGGGCTGCGAGCTCCTGGGGCAGTGCAGCTGCAGAGCCCGGCCTGACCCGATGCTCTGTGCTGCGCGATGTGTGGCTGGCTCCAGCCGGGTGGCGTGGCTGTAGCGCCGCCAGCCACTGGTGTGCCAGGCAGTGCGGTAAGGGGGCTGGGAGTGGGGCCAGGGGTGTGGATAGGGGGCGGGGCGGTCAGAGGGCTGGGAACAGGGGGATTGAATGGGGGTGAGGGTCCCGGGGGGCAGTCAGGAAGGAGAGGGGGGGTTGGATGGGGCGGCGGGGGGCAGTCAGGGGCAGGGGTTTGGGGCACTCATGGGACAGGGAGAAGGGGTGGTTGGTGGGGCAGGGGTCCCGGGGGCCCAGGAAGGAGAGGGGGGTTGGATGGGGTGGTGGGGAGCAGTCAGGGGCAGGGGTTCTGGGGGTAGTCAGGGGACAGGGAGCAGGGGGTGGATGGGGCAGGGGTCCCGGAGGGGCCATCAGGGAACATGGGGGGTTGGATGGGGCAGGAGTCCTGGCGGGGGGCATGCTGTCAGGAGGCGAGAAGCGGAGGGTGGGGTCGGATAGGGGGCAGGGGCCAGGCCATGCCTGGCTGTTTGGGGAGGCACAGCCTCCCCTAACCGGCCCTCCATACAATTTCCGAAACCCAATGCAGCCCTCAGGCCAAAAAGTTTGCCCGCCCCTCCCCTAAACCCAAATCCACCCAAGCAATGGTCAGTCAAAAAAAAATAAACTAGGAAAAATCCCCTGTCCCACCACTTGCTACCCTCCCTCGTGATGTTCCCTCACTCCCTAAACAACAGGGAGAAAACATTTGTTTCAGACGATACCACAAAGATCAACAGATTCAATTATTTTACCCCAAGGAGATGATCAAGTTTCAAAGAAGGGTCCTCACAGAGAAGGCCCTTGCAGCAGCTCCTATCTTTATGCCCCTGGGGACCTCAACGGTGGCAGTATGGCACAGGGTAAAAGGAAGCCATGTCTCAGGCCATTTAGGGCCTAACAGGACGAAAACAACACACTGAACTCCATTCTGAAACCAACAGACAATTAGGCCCAGATCCTCAAAGGATCCGAATACCTTTGAGGATCTGGGTCTTAGGGCACATCACGGAGCTTCAGTGTAACAGCCTCATGAGAGACACTGCTTAACAAATGTGCAGCTGAATTCTACACCGGGTTCAGTTTCTTGATGGATTTAAGATGTAGCTAGCGCATAATGCAGTAATTCAATCTTGAGGGAACAAAGATACAGATCTGCAGTGCTTTATGTCCCCTGGATAAGAACTAGCTGGGTTCCATTTCTGGAAGACTCAAACCAGCTACTTTGAACATCAATTTGCCTTCCCTAGTTTTTGTTTCAGAGATGACTTTATCGGCATGGCAGTTTTGGGGCATCCATTACCATCACCCTGGGTAATCAGATTCTTGGTAGAAAAGAGATTAACTCACCCATGTTAATTACCGCATCAAAGTATCCTGGAAAATCCTGATTTATTTTGATATACATGTCCACTCTGGAGACTGCAGTTTCAATCTCTGGCCTGCTAAACAGCCCCTTCCTCCGCAGATGTCCCTCATATTTTTCTTTGTTCATTGGTACTAACAGGATATATCGAGGTTCAAAGTAGGTATTTTTCAAACTTTGCACACCCTTTAAGATTAGACAGAAAGCACCCAATAATGTTTTATTCCTGAAACTCAGTGACTACTTACTGACATGCTGTGTTCATAATGACCCCTTACTTATTACAAACCATCATATTTAGCAATGTCGGTAAGTTATTTAAGTCTATGATCTTCAAAATTTGGTACCAAATTCATCTTGAAGTTAGTGAGTACAACTCCCAGGAAGCCTATAGTTCACTGGTGACTTAATGCACCTTGCTTTCTTATACCTGCCTAGTATCTGTTTTTCCTGTTAGGCCCTATCCTTTCTCTCCCTTATATTGCATGTCAGAAGTCATACTACTGTATTTCTTATAACCATTTTCTGACCAATTTACACCCCACATGTAACTTTCACCACCAATGAATTCGGCCCTTTCATTTTTACAATGAACAACATCGGAATCTTCTTCTCAATCAGAATGTTTTTCTAACTGATGCGGAGCGGCCTGATAACTTTCGGAGAATGAGGGTTTATTAAACCACAGTAGTTTATGATGGTAAGTGAACTGATTTTGAATTTCTGACAGCATCCCTTGTACCAAACCACGATATTCTGAGAAAGGGGAAAGTCTACATCTGCACTAAACATACCTGAATAGTATAAAGAACTAAAAAATACAGTATGTGGCATAAACTGGTATAAACAGGACCCTAAAGCACTTGTCACAGATCAACTGGCTTCTATGTTTAAGACTAAATTCTGCATATATGGCTGTATAATGGGGAGGGGAGGAAGGCTAATATGTAAGGGCCAGACAAAACTGCATCCCCCTGCTCTGGTTAGCATATGGGCTGCTACATCCTAACTTCCCCCACTACCATCTGGGATATACAAATCCCCAAAGGCAAAGGAGAGAAGACAGAGCTATATAGCCCCATCCTATCCAATCTGGGGCTGGGCCTAATCAGCAAAAATGAGTCCTGAGTGAGTACCTTAGGCCCCCAATCCTATAAACATGAACATGCTTAACTTCAAGCATCAGAACAGTCCTACTGACTGTGATACTGTTCAAGTACAAAAGTATTTGTGGGATGAGGGTCTTACCTACACTTAGAGCAGGTCTACACTACAAGCTTGGATTGGCGCAGCTGCACAGTTGTAGTGCTTCTGTTGGAGACACTCTCTCCGACAGCATCATAATTTGCATCACCCAGCCAACATACCGCTGGGTTAAGGTCGGTATAAGTACGTCACTCAGGAGTGTGGATTTTTCACACCCCCGAGTGACCTATTTATACTGAAGTAAGCATGTAGTATGGACCTGGCCTTACTTACAAATAAAAAGGGATCAGAGGGTGGCACACAAGGTGGTGGGAATAGAGAGATGCAAGGAACCCCTGTTGTTTGCAATAAGCTCTGTCTACAAAAGCAACAAAATGTGCCTTCTAGTGTAAAACAAATCAAAAACCAAAAATGTGACATCACTGAAATGAGGGGTGGGGATGGAGTCCTTGTGGGGGCCAACAGAAACTTAAAACTGAAGATGTATCTGAAAAATAGGATTGAAACGTAAATTGTATGCCTAATGTGCACATGCAGCCACTGCAATCTTATGCTCAAATGGGGTAACTGTATGCACCAATGGCCACGTCAACAAGGGATGGGTCCTGAAAGTGCCCTGGAACATCTCCCCTCACTCTGTCGCAGAATGCAACAGGAACTTCACTGACTAGAAATGTAGTTACTACAAAGGGGACAAATTCTACCACCCAACAGTGCAGAGGTAGTAGATTAAAGGGAATTAAATGGCTCAAATTTTTAGCCTCAGCTCATGAACCATCATTAAAATGTTCTTTTAATAGGCATGAATCACTTTCGTTAGAGGCTTAGGAGATGATAATGAACTCGAAGCCTTTCTGTTTCAGATGCATAACTCACCATTATGGTTTGTCATCAACAGGTAGAGTCTACAGCAATGCAGACTGCTGCATAATTATGACACGCTTTAGAACGCTGGCACCAGAGGCATCTCTTAACTAGCTGTCCATGATATTGCTGTTGATAATATCCAACAAAGGCACAGTGACTTCCCTATTCATATACAGGCCCTAACTTCTCCATCATTTAGTAATACACCTATTTTGAGAAGCATTCAAGCTTTATGAGGCACATCCCAGTGTGTCATGTCCAGTTTGTCTTCACTTGTGAATTTAGGGTCCTAGCCTGTGAGAAGCTGAGCATCCTGTTGAAGCCAATGGGAGCTGAGTATGCTAATACATCAAAATAGGCACTCAGATTGCAAGATCAGACCATTTAATTGTTGGCCCTTTGATACAGAGCTATCGCTATACAGTGTCTTGTACGCTTCTGGCAATATATAAATGATTAATGATAATGCACATAAACTACTCCCACTGAATCTTGTGGGCGCCTAAACTTACTCAGCACCTGCGTATTTGCAATAAAACGTTCCCTAGGCACCAATGTTTCTGTCTCTGTGCATGCGCACTGCTGCCTCCCGCTAGGCCCCCAAGTCCCAGAGCAATCTACAAACCAGGAGAAGAAAGATGTTCGGCTACCTAACCACAGGCGGGGCCTGATCCGGTAGGTGTGCTCAGAGGCAGCCTACCAAATGGGGCCCCTCAGGCAAATTGATACAAAATAACCAGAGAGGGCATAACTTTTCTCCCAGTGCTTAGGGTACTCATCTGTGATGTGGGAGTTGCCTGGTTCAAGTGCTTCCTGCACCTGAGAGGAAGAAGGGATTTGAACTGAGATCTACCACCTCTCAGGTGAGAGCTCTAACCACTGAGTTATGGGGTATTCTGTTGTGGGGCTCCCTCAATCTCTCCCCTTGAAGCTGTTCCACTGTGGATCAATAATTAAAGAGTCATGTGGGCCAGAGAGAGAGTGAGGGAGCACAAGCATGAGACTGACTCTATAGCCCAGTGGTTAGAGCACTCGCCCAGGCTCCACTCAACTTACTCCAATGACTCTTTAGTTATTTATCCATAGTGGAAAAGCTTCAACAAGAGAGATTGAGGGAGCCCCATAAGAGACTATCCTATAACCCAATGGTTACAGCACTTACCCAAGAGGTGGTGGATCTCAGTTCAAATCCCTTCTCCTTCCCAGGTGAAGGGATTACTTGAACCAGGCATCTCCCACATGAGTACTCTAACCACTGGGCTACAAGTTATAAGGGATGGGTATCCCAGCTGTGACTTGCTAGTAGAGATGGCACCTCCCTGCAGCCTGAACTTAGACATCTATCTCCTTGAGTGACTTAGCACACATCCCTCTGGTCATCTTCCTCTGGCTACCTTACGTGTCTCCCTGCCTGGCATGCTAGCTTTTGTGAATAGCATTCTAAGGCCCCTCTCTCTCCCCATTCATTGTCTGGGGAGCCTAGGCACCTAGCTCAGGGTTTGTGAATCGCAGTGTGTTTCTATGATTTTCTAGACTCCCAAAAGTTGGGGGGTTTGATGCTCACCTTAGCAACGTCTAACTGCTTTTGTGCATCCAGGCCTAGTAACCTGCCCAAAGTCACACAGGAAGTCTGTAGAAGAGCAGGAAATTGAACGTGGGTCTCCCAAGTCCTAGCTTAGTGCTCTGACCACTGGGTCATCCTTCCTCTCACATGAGAGGAATTCTCATAATGAGAATTATTTAATTAGCGCAGAAACTACAAAGGTAAATGTTATTCTTTTGGATTGATAATGGACACGTTTCTATGTTTTGTTTTTTGATGATGTTATAATGGTTAAGTAATAATAACGCCTACCTCTATTTCCAAATGAGCACAGCTTGCCAGTCCCTCTCTGGCAATGGATTCTACAGTCTCTCTTCCTAATCCATAGTAGTGGCTGCTATATTTATACGTTGCAATAAACTTCCCCTGAAATTAAAATGGTGATGTGTCATGACAATGGAAAGACTGTAATGAAAACAACTTTCCTAAAGAAGCACAGTAAAAATGATTGTTCTAGACTTGGTTACCATTAGTATACAGCTCCACAAAGCCTAAATCATCAGCGATAACAAGGCCACCTGGGGTGCAAAACTTGCAGAGAGCAGCAAAGAATAGGCCTCAAGGGTGCAGGCTTGTACATTGTTTGTGAATAATAAAACATCAGCTCATTGAAAACAAGCAGCTGACAGGTTACAACTTTACATTGGTTATTCATTCACCCCGCAAAGAAGCGCAAGATCTAAAGCAAGGGGCATCTTCCTTTGACAGAGCATCAACATGAATGGCAGCACAGGATAAAAGAGAAGATACCAAAGAGGAAAGTGGATACACAAAGCGAACCTGCAAGGAAAACAGAGACTTGGGAAGTCAATTTCAACAGTGAAACTTGGCAAATAAAACTTTGGTGCCCAGTGGTGTGTGTCCAAAGATATTCTTTGGAAATTAAACATTGAGAGATAAACACTAAACATCAGCTCACTGGCTTATGAATGTGTAGGCCTTGTGTATCTACCAATAAAGTACTATAATTGGGCTTTTTGAGCCCAAATTGCATTGGGAGTACAAATAGGCACCAGAAGCAGTAGTTGGAGACATTCTGTCTATAGACAGAAGAGAGGCAGGTACAATGCCTGGGTCAATCTGCCACCCTTTAAATCCTGTGCTCCCCATAGTGCTCCTAGAACACTGAGAAACATGGCAGGACCCTATCCACAAGCCTCCTTTTGGCTTTCTAGCACCTCTATCCTCTCCATCCCCCAACACACACACACACACACACACAGTATTTGCATATGCAAATGACCTATTCATTAATATTACAATAGTACCTAAAGACTCCAATTGATCTATGTGCCCCATTGTAAAAGTACTGTAGCTAAACACAAGAGACAGTCTAGCTGAAGATTTGCACAAACAAATACCTGATTTGGACATGCAACTGTGCTTACTGAACATGCATATTAGTCATTTAATTGTGCACACATCTCATTTTTTCTGAAATCAGGCCTTTAGAGACTTTTTTGTTTAAGGGAAATGCAGTGAACTCACTGATACTACAGGATTAGGCCTACCAAGACACAAGTCCAATTCTTACCATGTTCAACATATTGTCAAACACCTCCTGAGAAATGAAGTAGTAATCAAGTCTGTTGTCTTCTCCGAAGTAAGATGCCCTCGTGGTGTGACAGGGGCTGGAAGATATATGGTATGTTAAAGGAACCACCAGTTTTCAATCATTTTAAAAGCTGGTAGTGGAAGAGAAGGAGGGAATAGCACTAGAAATGATTTTATTTTAAACAGAGAAGAAATATGAGGAATATAAAGAGGTGCAAATCATACCACTAATGCTGCATATTTGAAAGACTAACCTATAAATGCAAAAAAACTGTATTAATGTAACATCACATTTGGGCTATAAATCCAAACACACAGGATTATCTGAGTGGAAGCTGTCACACCACCGTTAAGTAGGGAAGTGATAAATTCATATTCCCCCCCCCCCCCCGGCTATGTTGACTCCTGGCTGATAGATAGGAATCTTAGATATAGGAAGGCGTGGTGGGAGGCAGGTTGAGCAATTGATAGAAGTAGATGGAGGGACCAGTGGTGAGCTCCAGCCCCAGCAGTAAGAGGGTATCAGTGCTGGAATCAATGAGGCTGGCTGGAAGTAGGGGAGATAAGGGAGATATTTAAAATGCACATTTAAAGATGCACATTTAAATGCTATTTAAGGGCAACAATTTGAAGTATCTGACACATGAACTTTCTTTTGAGATGAGGGTCATACAAATATGAATCTGGCCAAACAGCAAAGTCTACATATGAAGAAATTTTAGTTTAAAGGCTCCAGTCCCTTCCTAAACATTCTGTTTCACATAAGCCCCAGCATATGGTCCTCAGTCACTCCTAACAGTGGGTCACATTCCTGAGAGATGGAATTTTGCTAATAGTGCTTTTGTATCACAGGACAAGCAGAACAAAAATGTTATGCATAGACTTACACTGGCAATATTTTGTCTCCTTGACTTTTTGACTGATCCATCCCAGACAAAACATAGCAAAAAATACTCACATCTAAATATACAGAGCCTGGCTGTGTTATTAAAACACTGATAATGGATGTTAACCAGTTTTGCAAAATAAAACTGGACAGACAGCTTGTATGGTGAGCTTTGGGTCTTGAAGCCTCAAGCTGGAGATCACAGAATCGAAAAAAAGCCATGTCACACTTTGGGGCAGCATTGTCTAGGTCTGGGCACCCAGATTTCATTCCCAAGTGTGACACAAACATGCTTTATTTGGTATGGGTATTGGGTAACTGATGTAAATAGAATCATTGTGAGCCTGGTCCTCATTTATACTTAAGCCCTTTTACACTGACAGAGTAGTGTAAAAGGACCCTACAGTGAATGAGAATCAGACCCTTGTATGTCTATTACTTTCTATGACAAAACCTATATGAGTACAGGTACCATTTGCATCTAACTTAGGTTTCTTTCAGTTCTCTTTTTTTGTTCCGTAAGTGTTTCAGTGAACTCCTAATACCATAAACTAGTCAGCACCAAGCACAGTGGGTTCCTGGTCAATGACTAAAGCTTAGGTGCTACAGTAGTACAAATTAAAAAACCCACCAACAACAAGGCCCTTCTTGTTTTTATTTCTTTTGAGTTTTTGTAATGAAAATCTTATAAAACCTCTCTTGTTTCCCTGTAATTTTATTCATTTGATCATAGAAATCTAGGGCTGGAAGAGACCTTGAGAGGTCATCTAGTTCAATGGTTTTCAACCTTTTTTGGACCAGGATCCATTTGTAAACATTGGTGGCCAATCCCAACCAATAAATAGCTTAAGTAGAAAACACCCAAGTATTTTGGCCCCAAAATACTTATTACCTACTATATGTAGTAATAATAAATAACAACAACAATAGTAATAAGTTTAAGAAGATCAACAGTCAAAGTTAAAGGCGGAAATCAACATCAACAGAAACAGACTAACAACAGTATAATAAATCCTAGGTTGAGAAGTCGGAGCTTGCTGCTCTTTGATGAGTTTATCAACGTTTGGTGTAATTGTAGTCAGTACAATCCGAAGGTCGTGTTCAACATCCAGTCTGTTTCTGCTTTTGTTCTTCAGTTGAGTCAGGGCAGAGAATTCAGTTTCTCACAAGTATGTTGTACTGACAGGCACAATGACTATAATAGCCTGGCAAGCAAGAGCAGGATATTCCAACAGCAGCACTGCACCAACACCGGGGAAAGCTCATTTCAGTATATTTTCTCTGTAGACTGTGATGACAAGACAACTTGACCAGCTGAGATTCTTCCTCCATAGGTAGACTAACATTTTCCAACACAACTCCAAATGGATCCTGTATCCATTCGTTTCCCCTGAGTTGTTCGTCTGGAAAGTAATCGCAGAATCTTTTGTGCAATTTAGTTAAATGATTACTGATTGTTTTCTTCAGTGCTTTCTGGCTAGCAGAATCTTTCCAATTTTTTTGTTTCTAGAGACTCATTGTGAAACGTGTCCATTCTATCATTTGAAACATGTTTGTTCACCAGAGAAAGTTTTTTTTTTGAATGCAGCAATTTTGTCAGTTTGCTCAAAGCGACTGTGCCCTCTTCCCTGTAAAGACGGAGTCAAATAATTCGGATAATCAAATATATCTGCCATATATGCAACATGAGGAAGCCATGTATCGTTACTGAAGTGCTTTGCCAGGCGAGACTTTTTTTCCTTAAAAAAAAAGCTGCCAACTCACTTTTAAGTTCTTATACACGAGACAACACTTTGCCATGGGACAGCCAGAGAACCTTAGCATCATAAAGCAGATTTACATGTGCACTGCCCATTTCCTGACAGAAAACTTGAAAGCATCGTGAATGCTTGGCATTTTGTTTCATGTAATTCACAATTTTGACAGCATCTTTAAGAGTTTTGTGAAGCTCAGGTACCATGTCTTTAGCTGCTAATGCCTCCCTGTGCAGGAAACAGTGGTTCCACATTGCATTGGGTTCTTTCAAAAGGATTATTTGAACAATTTCTGAATGTTTCCCTGTCATTGAAGCGCCCCCATCAGTTGTAACACCAACACACTTTGACCAGCTCAATCCCACTGACTCCAAGTAACAAATATATCCAATGCAACAAATATATCAGCAGCAGTAGCAGAAATAGGCAAATCCGCACGAAAGAAGTACTGGATAAGGTAACAAGCCTTGTGGATAGGGGGGAAGCAGTAGATATGGTATATCTTGACTTTAGTAAGGCTTGTGATACTGTCTCGCATGACCTTCTCATAAACAAAATAAGGAAGTACAACCTAGATGGAGCTACTATAAGATGGGTGTATAACTGATTGAAAGCCATTCCCAGAGAGTAGTTATAAAGGTTCAAAGTCAAGCTGGAAGGGCATATCAAGTGGGGTCTCACAGGGATCAGTTCTGGGTCTGATTCGGTTCAATATCTTGATCTATAATTTAGATAATGGTATAGAGAGTACACGTATAAAGTTGGCAGACAATACCAAGCTGGGAGGGGTTGCAAGTGCTTTGGAGGATAGGAGTAACACTCAAAATGATCTGGACAAACTGGAGAAATGCTCTGAAGTAAATAGGATGTAATTCAATAGGGACAAAGGTAAAATACGCTACTTAGGAAGGAACAATCAGTTCCACACATACAAAATGGGAAATGACTGTCTAGGAAAGAGTACTGCAGAAACGGATCTGGGGGTCATAGTGGATGACAAGCTAAATATGAGTCAACAGTGTAACACTGTTGCAAAAAAAGCAAACATCATTCTGGGATGTATTAGCAGTAGAGTCGTAAACAAGACATGAGAAGTAATTCTTCCGCTCTACTCTGCGCTGATAAGGCCTCAACTGGAATATTATGTCCAGTTCTGGGTGCCACATTTCAGGAAAGATGTGGACAAATTAGAGAAAATCCAGAGAATAGCAACAGAAATGATTAAAGGTCTAGAAAACATTACCAACGGGAGATGATTGAAAAAATTGGGTTTGTTTAGTCTAGAGAAGAGTAGACTGAGAGGGGACATGATAACAGTTTTCAAGCACATAAAAGGTTGTTACAAGAAGGGAGAAAAATTGTTCTCCTAATCTCGGGGGATAGGACAAGAAGCAATGGTCTTAAATTGCAGCAAGATGGTATAGGTTGGACATTAGGAAAAACTTCCTGTCAGGGTGGTTAAGCACTGGAACAAATTGCCTAGGGAGGTTGTGGAATCTCCATTATTGGGGATTTTTAAGAGCAGGTTAGACAAATACCTGTCAGGGATGGTCTAGATAATACTTAATCCTGCCTTGTGTGTAGGGGACTGGACTCTCGAGGTCCCTTCCCGTCCTACGATTCTATGATTCTTGAAAATCACTTTCCCACACGTGCCTCACATAAACCAGCAAGATAGTGTGAGTTGATACATCTGTATGAGTCTGTAACAGTCGCTTACTGAAAGACCATCAGTTGTTTGCAGTTTGAGGTCTTGTGAGATATCGCAGATTCTTCCCTGTATTGTATCACTGGAGAGAGGGATTGTTTTTAATTTTTTTGCAGCTGACCCACCCAATAATTCAGTGCACATGTCAATAGCAGAAGGTAAAATTAACTTCTCAGCCACCGTGTGAGCTTTTTTACATTTCACAATGCAGTGTGCAACAAGGTAAGAAGCATGCGATGCTTGCTCCCAGATAGCAGATACACATTCAAGTGTTTTTTGTGACATTTCCAAATTTTTCCTTTTTCGTTTAAAAAAATCAAGAGGCTTGTCTTTATAGCTAGAGTGCTTTGTCCAGAAATGCCTATGTAACTTTGATGGTTTTAGGCTTTCATTTGCTAACAGTTCACAGCAGATGACACTCTGTGGTCTGTGTTCATCATTTTGGTCCTCAATAATGAAAACCCAAACTTTAAGTAAACAGGGTCGTACCTACGATTATTTTTCTTCTCAGGTTGTGATGAATTCCTACTGTCACTTGTGCTTGCAGTTGCAACAGAACAGTTTAAAAATGTATCCATTTCACTGATTAAAGACTCACTTTGTGATTAAAATGCACACTCTTCATTGGAAGTTCTACATGGAACACTCATTTCCCATAACTCTTCCCACTTTGCATTTGATTGTCTAATTGATGAGGCTACAAATGGGTCACAGAGGTAACGGATTCTGTGATTTTATGTGACCTCTGCGACTTCAGCCCCGGGTGGCAAGGCTCTGGGCTCTCGACCCCCATGGCAGGGCTCCAGACAGCCACGACCCTTTCCTACATTCTTGCGACCCGCTTTTGGGTCATGACTCATGGGTTGAGAAACATTGAACCAGTCCATCCCCTGAAGCAGGAGCTTGACCATCCCTGAGACGTTTGTCTAACCTGTACTTAAAAACCTCCAATGATGGAGATTCTACAACCTCCCTAGGTAACTTATTCCTTACTTAACTTATATTTGGAAAGTTTTTCCTAATATCTAACCTAAACCTCCCTTTCTGCAAATTAAGCCCAATACTTCTTGTCCTACGTTCAGTGGACACAGAGAACGATTGATCCCTGTCCTCTTTATAACTGCCTTTAAAATATTTTAAAACTGTTATCAGGTCCCTCCTCAGTCTTCTTTTCTCAAGACTAAACATGCACAGTTGTTGTTTTTTTAACTTTTCCTCGTGAGTCAGATTTTCTAAACTTTTCATCATTTTTCTTGCTTTTCTCTGGACTTTCTCCAATTTTTCCACATCTTTCTTAAGGTGTGATGCCTAAAACTTAACACAGTATTCCAGTTGAGTCCTCATCAATGCTGAGCAGAGCAGGACAATTACTTCCTGTGTCTTACATACAACCCTCCTATTAATACACCCCTGAATAAATATCTAAGTTGGGGGGGGGGGTATTCTTTTTTCCTCTGTACTGAGATCTTAGATTTAATGTGGAATAAACTCTTTTCTTTAATACAACTGAGTTACACCTCTACCCCAATATAATGCTGTCCTCGGGAGCCAAAAAATCTTACCATGTTATAGGTGAAACCACGTTATATCGAACTTGCTTTGATCCGCCAGAGCGCGCAACCCCGCCCCCCCCCTCCCGGAGCACTGCTTTACCGCGTTATATCCGAATTCGTGTTATATCGAGTCGTGTTATATCGGGGTAGAGGTGTATAAACCACTAAGAAATTAAGTTTATAATGCAGAGGCTGACAGATCCTTAACTGTAGCAGCACTAGCTTGTGTCACTATTTTATCAATGAACTATGGCAAATGAGAACAGTGTGGTGCACATGGACCCTATAAAACTTTAACTTCAAAGGCCTGATTTTCTCAAAGATATTAGAAACGTATCCAGCTTTAAAGGTCATTCCTGAGCACAAACCAGATGGTCTTAGTGTCCAATTTCATTTTATTTATTTTTTTGAAAGACTTTTACCCATTACAACTTTTTTTATTGCAAGGCCATGTTCACATTTGAACTGCCAGGATATCTGACATGAAATACATTTTTAATGAGTGGAATGTTTGAAATTTAAAACAGTAAGCCATAAAATTGCTGAAATCTCCACTGAATAATTAAAATACAACTTTGCTTTGTAGTTGCAATGTTCTGCTCTGTTAAAATTCTCTCTCTCCTTTTTTCTCATACATAAAACTTTTGAAGAATAATACATATTAAAAACAATGCTTTTGGAAAACAGATAGTGCTTGGAAAATTCGGGCCAGTTTTCAATTAGTTATAATTTCCAAGCTGGTCTCTCAAAGCACTCATTGTGCATCACATTTGATTTTTCCAATCTTGTAACCGTCACAGCATTTCTGTCAAAAAGTCCTTTGGACTTGCTAGTCATGTGACTTAATCTAGCATTATAACATATTACAAACACAGAGTAGATCTTCATATTATAGGACTTGAGTTGAAGGAGGTGCCTATTATATAACATCACTGATAGTCAATCTAGGGTTCTATGGTGCTGGGCATCCAACGAACTAATTCTGCTTCTACATTGTCAGCTATTGTATATGCTCTTAGGGCTCTATTCTTATGACATATTACATTAGTACCTAGAGACCCCATTGTGTTAGGTGCTATACATATACATAGTAATGTATATAGATACATACATAGTCCCTGCCCTGAGAAACTTACAGTTTAAAATAAGGCAAAATGCAACAAGTGAGTGTAGCAAACAGACAGAATTGGAGAGATGATAAGAGCACCAGTAACACATGGCTACACAGATTACTGCAATGTGTACTATATAGAACTACCTTCGAAATGTAGAAGTTACAGCTGGTGAAGAATGAAGGATGCCTATTTGCTTTGTCAGAATTAGCTACAAAAAGTATATTATGCTGGTTCAACTACCTTGAAATTTAGACTATACAGCTGGTGAAGAATGGAGGATTCCCACTTTGTCGGCATTAGTCACAGAAATCATATTGTAATAGTTCAGTAATTACACTGGCATCCTATTCGCTTCTGGATGCAATATGTACGTGTCCTGTATAGATGCACCCTAACACTTTTGTAGTGGGCTGTGGCAGACTGATAATTTCTTGCAATATCCTGAATTAAGTTAAACCTTACAGAATTAGTTTTAACATCTTTGGAGTTCATTGTATTAAAAATGCAATTGTGTATGTGTTATCATGGAATTGTATGTATTTCCATGGGAAAGATAAATAGGAGAAGAGCAGGGGGTGATTAGGCAAATTCACTCAGGTTGTAACATCTCCAGAGAAGCCACCCCCCTGGCAAAATATACAAACAATATTTCCAACTGGATTCTCCAGGGACTGACAGACAAGGAAAGAATTTTTGGATAAATAGGCTGGTCTTAAACTGGTTCATGGTCTTCTTCCTGATTCAGCAAATGGATAGGACCCCTGGTTCCTGGTGGGTCCCAACCTCAGGGTAGGGATTGAAGGACTGGGCCTTCCAGAATCCATGTTAGGGTTGGGGTTATTCAGGCAAGCTTTGGGGATGCATATAAGTTCTTTTATTGTTTTAGTACATTTTCTCTGTAATGCTTTGTACCTTAAGACTATAGTAGGCTTGCCTAGGAAGTGCTGCATGGTAACTTATATCTGTTGACAATCACTCTGTTGTCTCTGAAGAGACAGCAAGCAGGTGTCTATGAGCAACCTATCTGTGCTGGGAAATACACAGTGAAGGCAGGGAACTATGCAGCCTGGGAATACCCTGGTCCGTGGGTCTCCATCCAGAAAGGCAAGAGCTGGGGAGCTGGAAGCCAAGAGTAGGTGCCCTTGCTGAACCGGAGGGGAAATACAGGTGCAGTTGCCCTGAACTGTGACGCTGGGCACAATAACATGAACTAAAGAATAAGTTCAGATGAATGGATGGATGGACAGACAGATAAAATGTGCTGATTTTGCTTTGCAGTTCACCTTTAAAGGAATCTTGATAATTTATACAGCATATTAAAAAATAAGTAGATATTATATGATGATTTCAGACAGCCTAGATCTAGTAGGAGACACAACGCCTTGCAATGACCATTTAACAGTCTTCTGTAATATTTAACTTTAAAAAAAGCAACAATTTGAGCCTTGACCGCATTCTATCGTCTCTTAAACTGATGGAGTAAATTTACCTGTATCTGAAAAAATTGTTGAACTGTCTGCAGATTCTGTGAGAAAGTTCTCGCTTTCCACAGGCCACGGGTCCAACTAATATTAACATGGGGTAGGGAGCATCAAGACTAGGCAAAGTGCTGCAAGGAGAAAAAACAAACAAGGCACTGTTACACTTCCTACAATGGACACTTGTACTGGCATCATATAGGTCTTTGGGAACAGCATATCATCAAGGGAACTGATCTAATCTAATCTAATCTAGGGGGTGGGGTGGGACACCTAACTGGCTTCAAGACTGAGCTTGATAAATTTATGGAGGGGATGGCATGATGAGACTACCTTTAATGGCATGTAGTCGTTCTGCGTCTGCTAGCAACAAATATCTCCAATGGCCAGTGATGGGACACTAGATGGGGAGGGCTCTGAGTCACTACAGAGAATTCTTTCCCAGGTGTCTGGTTGATGGGTCTTGCCCACATGCTCAGGGTCTAACTGACTGCCATACGCCGATACCCCAATATAACACGACCTGATATAATACGAATTCGGATATAACACGGTAAAGCAGCGCTCCGGGGGGGCTGGGCTGGGCACTCTGGCGGATCAAAGCAAGTTCGATATAACGCGGTTTCACCTATAACACGGTAAGATTTTTTGGCTTCCAAGGACAGCATTATATCGAGGTAGAGTCGGGAAGGAATTTTTCCCCAAATCAGATTGACAGAGACCCTGAGAGTTTTTCGTCTTCCTCTTCAGCATGGCTCACTTGCAGGTTTAAACTAGTGTAAATGGTGGATTCTCTGTTATTTGAAGTCTTTAAATCATGATTTGAGGACTTCAATAAATCAGCCAGAGGTTAGGGGTCTATTACAGGAGTGGGTGAGTGAGGTTCTGTGCCCTGCAACATGCAGGATATCAGACTAGATGATCATGATGTACCTTCCGACCTTAATATCTATGAGTCTATACTATTCATGTCATTCACCGCATAGACAAAGAAAGCAATGGAAAATCAAGTGTGTGCATTTATGCATGATTTAAACATGAAAACAACACAAAATATTTCATTAAAAAATCCCATAGCATTTTTTTGCAAAAAGAAGGATGTTAAACCTGGTGTATCCTGCTCAGACTGTAACTTAGATTTACTGTCTTTTCTGAAATTCCCTCTGCAGTTACCGTTGCTGTTGCTGTGGACTGTTAAAGAGTTGCCCAGCTCCACCTCAGACATGGCAATATTTCAATGGTGGGATAACTGAGTCTTGACCATATTTAGGATCGATCCCGCAAACCTTTATGACTCTCATGAAAGTACTATAATCTCATTGACTTGAAGGGTTTGCAGGATCGAGGTGATAGTTTGTAAAGTGCTCTACAAATGGGATGAAAGACACGAAGGATTATGGGCCCAATCCTGTGTAGCACTAAGCACCCTTAATTCCCACTGACCGAAGCACTCTGCAGGATAGGATGCAAAGTGTTCGCAGAAACACAGAGGCCTAACTTTAGGTGCCCATTTTTACAATATTTTAGCCTAAATCCATATTAAGTGGCTTGATTTTCAGAAGTGCTGAGCGTTCAGCTGCTCCCTTTAAAGTAAATGGGCATTTGTGGGTGCGCTGCACTTTTGAAAGTGAGGCCTCTTATTAGGTGCCTACGTACGGAGTGTAAATTTAGACATTTTGTTTTTGAAAATCTTACCAGAGAGGTTAAGATTATGTCATTTGATGTGACAAACACCAGCTGAAATAATTTTTAAAAAACCCACCTTTTTTTGAAACTAATAAACGGCTTGACCCATTTACGTTTTCTTTTAAAGAAAACAAATCACATCTAGGTTCCAAACTTCAGACTAATGTGATTTAAAATAGCTGAGTATAAATGCCTGAAAACAGAGTGTATAATGGAAACAGCAACAGAAGTAGATGATTAATCTATCTGAAATAATGTTAGCTGTTAAGCATAAGTGAAGGGAAAAAATTAGATAATTCAGAGTAATGGCTTCTCTCCTGCATCAGCTCACACCAGCAAAACAGTTCTATCTGTCTAGGTACTGATATAGTACCATACTCTCCTTGTGCCTCTAAAGCATTAATGAATTTCTTCATCACAACACTCCTGTGAAGTAGGAAAGTACTATCCTCACTTTACAGATGAGAAACAGAGACACAGATTAGATTTAAGTGATTTGCCCAAGGTCACAGAGGGATTCTGTGGCTAAACTGAGAACTGAACTGAGGTCACTTGCATCCCAGTCTAGTGCCCTGTTCTGCAGGCCAGTGTTTCTCAACGACCGGTCTGTGGATTGGCACCAGTTCCTGAGATCTCCCTGACACAGTTTAAGAAGGCAGCAAGGCAATCCCTGGTATCAAAAAAGTTGAGAAACACTACTCTAGACTACCCTTGGGTTAGGAGGTCAGTGGAATCCCTCAGTAGAAGAAGAGGTTACTCACCTTGTTCAGTAACTGGAGTTCTTCAAGATGTGTCTCCATATGGGTGCTCCACTTCAGGTACACATGCGCCCTGCATCTTTAATCAGATATTTTTGGTAGCAGTGCCCATTTGGCCCACACACGTGCCCTACACATCCTCATGCCCTTCATCGAGGCTACATAAGGCTGCACAGTGAACGGCCCTCAGATCCTTCCTCATTGCAAAGTCCCACAAGGGAGACTCTGAAGCTGAGGGGAAGCAGGACAGGTACTGGAGCATCCATAGAGACACACATCTCAAAGCACTCCAGTTACTGTGCAAGGTGAGTAACCTTCTCCTTCTTCTTTAAGCAGTGTCCTTATGGTGACTCCCGAGCAGTATCCCCTTACAGAGGAGGGAGCTTCGGAGCAGAGTCCAGTACTGAAGAGAGAATTGCATTGCGAACTGCAGCACCTGTCTAATGGCAAGAACCAGAACATAAAGGTTAGAGAAAGTCTGTACAGAGATTCATGTTGCAGCTCTGCAGATTTCAGCATCTTTGAGACATCTGGAACATCTTTGAATAAAGCTACTGTGTAGACTGTGACCCTGTAGAATGCTCCCCACTCTAGGGGGAGGTTGAATGTCAGCCAAGTCATAACAAGCAATAATACACCCAGAAATCCACCCTGAAAGTCTTTGCAGGGAGATCGCAGATCCCTTGGATCTGTTGAAATTCAGAAGGTATTTTAGTTAAAAACATAGGAACTGGTTGTAATGAGACCTTGTCATTGTACCTGGAAGATCTGCCATTAAGGCCCCCAGTTCCCTGAAACTCCAGGCAGAAGTGATAGCCACCACTCATGGTGCATGGTAGTCTAATGAGGCAATTAAGGGCAAGGTTCAAGTCCTAGATTGGAGTACAATTGCAATTTTGGGGAAAAGATTCATTAGACCTCTTAGAAATCTTGACATAGGATAAGCGAAAACTGAAAAACCTTTTAAGGATGAATGAAAGGCAGTTATATCTTCCAAGTTAATTTTGATAGAGGTCATAGAAAGCCCTGATCTTTTCAATTCCAATAGGTAGTCTAGGACATTGGAAAGAGAAGAGCAGGCAGGAGAAACTTGTTGATGGGCACATTAAAGATTATCTCTTTCATTTTTGAAGGTAAATGCATTTCGTAGATTCCTTCCTGCTGTTTACCAATACCTGTGGCACATCTGATGAACAAGACTCTTACTCACAAAACCATTAAGGAGCCATGCTTGGAGCTGCAGAACATCCAGGTTGGGGTGAATTGTCTGACCGACATCATGAGACATCTGGCGGGGACTGGTCAGAAGCCACCAAGTTGGGTGAGAGGTAAGTTGGATGAGGTAAGGATACCAGACTTGTCTTGGCCAGTTGGTGCAATCAGAATGACTTTGGCCTTGCCCTCCTTGATCTTGCTGAGTACTTTTAAGAGCAACAGTATTGGTAGGTATGCATAAAGGAGACATTTCACCCATGAGATGAGGAAGGCCTCTCCTGGTGATTGGGGATCAAGTCCCCCTCTCAAACAGAATCTGTTGCATTTTGCATTGGCTGCAGTGGCACAAAGATCGACTTCTAGACACCCTTAGGTTAGAAATATGTTGTGGAGGACCTAAGAATCCAACTCCCATTTGTAACTCTCAGAGAAGCGTCTTCTGAGGTTGTCGGCGGTGGTGTTCTGAATGCTCAAAAGATAAGCTGCTGAGATGACTATTCTGTTGGCCATGTGCCAATTCAAGAATTTCATCGATTCAGCACAGAGTGATGGGGAACGTGTCCCATCCTGACAATTGATGTAGAACAGGCAGACCATGTTGTCTGTCATGATCTTGATGGATTTGGCTCTGATCAATGAGAGGATGTCGGAGCAAGCCCCCCTGATTGCTCTCAGTTCCAGAATGTTTATGTGCAGAAGACTCTCTTAGACAGACCATTTGCCCTGGTCCAAAAGGAGCTCCCCTGCCCAAGAGGGATATGCCTGATGTTATAACAACAGTCAGAGGAGTTTGAAAGAAAGCAACTCTCAAAGATATCTTGGAAGGATATTACACCAATTGAGCTTTCCAGGACTTGCCAAGGAACAAAGACCTGTCTGTTGAGACTGTGTTTGTTTGGTATGTAAACTGTCCTGAGCCATCCCTGGAAACTTCAGAGAGATAATTTGGCATGTTGGGTTACAAAGATACATGCTGCCATATGACCAACAGCTGAAGACAATTTCTTGCCACGGCTTGAGGACTTATCTGAATTCTTGCAGCAAGATTTTTTTTAGGTTCATGAAGTTGTCCCCAGGACGGTAAATTTTGCCTGTTATGGCTATCTGTTGAACTGTGGGCAAAACACACTTTTCAGGAGTGAGTTGGAGTCCTAAGCTGTGGACCTTGTGGTTTGCAATGCCTATAGGACCTCATGATAAGAATGACCTCTGAGTACCCAATCATTGAGATAAGGGAAGATGATTATCCCTAGATGACAAAGATGGGCAGATATGACCGACGTAACCTTTGGGAATATCTTTGGGGCAAAGGAGAGGCTGACAAGCAGCACACAGTAGTGGTTGTGATTGACTATGAAACAAAGAAACCTCTTATGAGAGGGATGAATTACAATATAAAAGTAGGTGTCTTGAAGGTCAAGATTCACAAATGAATCTTTGGAATCTGGGGAGGGAATTATACCTGCTAGAGT